TGTGTTTACAATATATATTGAGGGTGACGGGGTTATAGCGGATATTTTGCCGGGATATTCAGCAGGTGTTGAACTGCTGCGGCAAAGCGGGCAAAGTTGAACCCGTCTCTGCAGGTCGTGCAAACACGAGGTCGGGTGGAGCACGCTAAGTGTATATTCACTATTTCGCTAGTAATAATATTCTAAGTGTTGAGGTTGACGAAACTGCAACATTAAGTTGTTTCAAAATTTCGTTGAATGGTTTTTCATTATTTTTAAATTTAATTTAATTAGCTGTTCCCAGGTGTGAACGATGATGATGGTACAGTAGCGTTGTTGGTTACCGGTACTGAGTTCACACCTGATCCACACTACATTTTTGCGTCTATACAAATCTGTACCTGTGCTAGGTTTTGAGTTAATTAAATCAATAATTTTTATCTGAACCCTGGAAACTTCCCAGCACGCCGACTTGAGCGATCCGCTGGCGAGAGTTGGTGACGTCTTTCCCGCTTTAACTACGGAATAGCGCATATATTCCGAGCGGGAAAAACGGCACGTTACATAGGACCATAACTGCACTTGAATGACTCCTCCACTTATAAAGAGCATAAGACAACAATGGTACAATACCCACAGATCTCACTTACTTTCTACAAGTAACGGATCTAGTTTTATAAATCCGTGAGAAAAGACTAAGTGGTTTCTAAAATAATACACTACTGTTATTTTTTACAGGGAATACAGATAATTTCTAACTTCGAATATGTATGAAACTATTGCATTTTTCCGCATAGCGAGATGAAAAATTTAATAATAGACAGAGAACTAAATGGGTTTCACTACCTTTATTTACTCTACTTAGTTTAGTGAATTACTTAGTATAAAAAAATAAAATAAATTATAATCTCAAACTGATTAATAGAATATAAATAAATAATGAGTAATTAGTAACTGAAGATTAAAAAGTCTTAAAGCCATTTAGACATTTAAAAATAATTGGTTACACGATAATCCAATGTGACTGAACAATTATTTTGAATATATTTTTAAAGAGAATCTATCTACCTTTATGTGTTTCTAAACTCTTTACCAACCTTACAAGGTAATAATTCTGGGTCCATAACAAATTTAAATATCGGATTTAAATCGTATGTTTACTAACATAGCCACCATTTTGTATTTTTCATAAATTAAATTTGTTTTCTCAATAAAACTTTGCAATTTTGCATTAATCTTAAGCGTGTCACTGCAAAAAATATCAAAATTTTTAAATTTAAAAATCGATGCAAATTACTTTTTTGGACAAGAATAACTTTTAAACAGTCGAAATCGTAGAAAAATAAGTTTTTGTATTTATTAGTTTAACTTATACAGTATATATGAAATTATTTATCAAAATTTATATTAATTAATTTAATTTAATATTTTAATTATATTAAAATACACAATTTGTGCACAGATGTCCTCGTTATTATAAAATGTACTGGAAATACAAATTTAAAAAAATTTCACAAGAATTTACAAATTAAAAAAATATTTTAAATGCAAATTTTTACACACTGTAAGCTGAGATATTACAAGTATTCTAAACTTATTCTAAAGTATAAGAATGAGGAAAGATGTGGATCAAGATATGTGTGGGATTTAATGCAGACTCAGCTTAACGATCTGGGGTTTATAATACAGTACTTGACAGATAGCAACCCTTACTGTATTGTGGAGCTCGCCACGAAATATACAAGAACACTTTAGTTCCAAAATGTAACAAATTTTGTTGATACTTAGTTACGATGATAATAATTACATTTTATCGTGTTTAGTTTTACCACTTTACAAAGTCTTTTTTAGAAATGTAAAAAAAAAATTAGTTCAAATAAAAAAAAACAGAAAAATATTAATGGATATTTTATAAGGATTATTTTTAATAGTAATAAAAAAAAATATATTTCGATTACAAAGATTAAAATGATAAATTTTATTTTTATATTAAATTCCTATTTTAGTGGGCTAAGTCAGTATGGAAAAATGTAGTACCGGTACCTGATATTCAGAAAATATTTTAACTAAAAAAGACTACACATTTTTATTTTTATAATTTTTTTTTGTTTTACTTGGCTAAGTCAATGTGGAAAATATAGTACGTACCATAATGTTATGATGGTAAATAAAACCTGTATTTTATTTTATCATTTTTAAGCATTTTACTTGGCAAGGTCTATTTATGAATATTAAGTAGAAAAGTACCAAAGCTGATGGGGAGTGAGCTGGTCTAGTGGCCGAGCGTGAGACTTCGGTCCCTGAGGCCAAAGGTTCGAATCCCGCCAATAACCAATAGACTTTATTGGAGTGATAATGGCCCCGACCCCTAGGTTTAGCAAAAAATAATGGAAAACACGATCTCGGGCTGGAGCCTAATCAACGTCATACGACAAATAAGATGATTGTGATGATAAAAATCCCTGGTTTTCAAGTGTTTCAGTTTTTGTTTAACAATTAAAAACCTTTTGTTTGTACCATGCTTTAGTTGTTTACTAGCTCAAATAATTTTACAAATATTTTGAAAATCTAAAGGCTCGATCACCACCAATGCTTGATCCAAATGCCATTTTGCTATCAATTTATGCATAATAACGCTACCTAACAAAAGGACGACTTACTTGAAAGAAATAAGTGTTTATCAACAAGACCAGGATTTATGTATACGGTTCCTACACCAGAAAACGTAAAACATACGAAAATCGTAGAAAACAAATAGTGGGCACTAACAAGACAATTTGGTAAACTCAAAGTCAAATCCACAAAAGAAACTCGATATTCAAACACGGTGTGTACACTCGGGGCCTCGTTTGGGACTGTTTTGAGTGGTTTTCGATTGTTGACGCGGCGCCCAACCCATCTGGCGCCCCGTCACTCAAGCCATGTCTGCGTCAAATGACAGATAAATTGACCGTGCATTGATTGTTCAACAACCTGTAGAATAAATATGCATTCAATGCAATGAATAAATGTATATTTTGTATCGAGAAATTATTTACAGGCAGGGATGTACAGCTTTGAAAAGTGAAAAATGTACTACAGTTTAGAATGTTGATAGTTGAATTAAATTAGTCTGGTCAAAATCAGACCCCTGAATATGCCACACAACGTCACAGAGAGCATAGGGTGACACTAAAATCTTACCTTCAAGAAGTCAGGCAACCAAAACCAAGGTAAATATAATATAATTTAATTTCTTGAAACTGGGATAGCAAACAAAAAAGTATTAACTAAGCTACAAGTAATGTAATAAATAGTGCCTTTCGTAAATATGAATTTAGTGAGAGGAGAGTTATGGGGAAGATTTCCATACCGTCTACGACACTTTCTGGGCTACATCAAGTAAATGGTCTGTATCAACATTCGCCTGAAACATTCGACTCTGCGTAGTGAAAACTTTCAATTTCGGAACAGCAAAAATTTTTTATTTCACTAAACATGGCTTTTAAAACTTTTTATTTTATCAGCAAGAGCTTTGTTGTAGTTGATGAAGCGACTTGAGCAGCAGATGTATAATAAAATAACATATATAGTAGCTAATAATATAATGTAACGTGATTCACCCAATAAAAATCATCGATATTTCTCTATAGGATAATCTTTAGCTTCATTCCTCTGACAAAGAAACACCAATAATGTCATGCCTATGATCAAAAGTATCAGCAATTATACTATGAAAGTGGTATGCCCTAATCGAGAAATAATTCGTGGCATTCCTCTTTTATGAATCGTCTCTCTCGGTAAACGATTGATTAAGAATATTTTTCCGTGTCATTAATCTAATTAAGGATCAAATTTTGTGCCGTTCTCAATATTAGTCACTAAACATTCTTTGATTATTGTAGGTACCATCAAATTAAAAGATCATTAGTCCAAAGCAACCAAAACCTCAAAATAGTAAATTACAGTAACTCAATTGGACAAATTGAGGACTTGATGCAATTTGAATACAGAATCGTACGTAAATTTGTGGTTGGACGGTGACATAGAAAGCGCCAATGCATTCCTTCCGCACCTCTTGAACCTGACCGTGAATATCCTCCTGAAGGACCAAAGGTCAAGAAGACCGCGCCTAGAGACAAGGATGTGCTATCTGTGTCGCTTGAAGATTGGCTGATTGACTCACCGTGCATACCAAATAAGCGACTGTATGTTAAATTACCTCACTACGCTAGGATACTTCTCACTTGGTGTCTACACAACGAGGATGTGTGCCTTACCTCCTAATATTGTTTTTCAAGAATCCACAATTGCTCCTATGTCTACATCAAGATCCTACTGGCACTCTCATTACAATATATTTAAGGGGAACATTAATTTATTTTTGTTAGAAGATTAACAGACAGAAATGATGACGTAAAGACTCTGATCTAAAATTAACTAATAATATCCTGCGTGTCATATAAAAGTGCGTCTGGCCACCTGAAAGTTATAAATACGAAGACGGCTATTTCAAGACCAACTCAGGTTTACAATTTGCTTGAATAACGGCTAACGCATCTAGACATTGGAAGTTTATTGTTGCAGCCTTTATAATGGAAAAATAGGGAATGAATGATAAATTGTTAAACAAATGCATTACTTTACAGCTCTTGTATAGCACATTGTGTTATGTAGAATCAATGTAAAATCTAAAATTTCACATAAACGAAATATTTCTGTTTCTTTAATTATAATTGTTCTACATGATTTGAACTAGGCTTAGTTCACTAGAAATCTTATTTGGCACGGTTTATTTACTCATTTACATCTTAATATGCTAGGTCTCTATAAAATAGCACTGTATGTATTTGTCAAAACGTACTATTTTATTCCAAGAACATTTGAACAATTGGACGGTAAAAACTCTAGATTTTTACGAGAGGAAGAAAACTTTCACAGATAACAGAGGCGGTCCAAGTCATGTCATAACATAAACAATGTTAAAACGTGACCAGGAGTAGACACATACCGTACCTTATAACTATACATCATTTATCTCTCTAACAAAAATTCTCTACCCTAAATATCAAATTGATAGCATCGCTGAAATCTTGCACAGCGTACGTAGGCTTCCACAGATTCTTATCACATCCCAAAAATTCCCTGTGGACATGGTTTCTTTGGCAGTTATCAAGATCTTCAGAAGACACTCCAGTTTTCACAAGAACACTGTAGCAATTTCTAACAGAACTTTCAACATCGATGCAAGAGTCAAAAGTGACTTTTTCTTTGAGATGACGATTGAACAAATTCCCACCAAGAATATCCGTGTTGACGTTGTCTCCGATCATGTAGAGATTTTCTATTCCAATTCCAAGTTCTTCAGCCTGTTTCTCAACCAACCTGAGGGCGTATTTGTAAGTGACAACGCCGGGTTTCCCGACCAAAACTCTGTATTGAAGTTCATCCCCGGTGATCTTCTCGAAGACATTCTCCAAGCAGTGAAGGAAAACTCCGTGACCAAATCTTGGAATTTCCGCTGTGAATCTCCACTGAAGATCCATGTTGCAAGCCAACACAGGTAGATGAGGGGTAAAATCTACATCGTGTCTTCTTGGGTCTCCATTGGTCAAAAGAACATCCAAGAGAAGTTGAAGAGAAGATTCCCACCTGATGGGTTCTCCAAGCATCACAATAGCTTCAACAGGTGAAAACTCAACATCAGGAATTGTTCGATTCACTCTTCTAGACACATCTACAGCATCCAGCATCGGAAACACCTTCACTAAATCTTCAATAGTCAATGTTTTCTTGAACCCAATCGATCTTGCTACCTCTTTCACCCGACCTTGCCCGGTGATAAGGACATTCTTCTCATGGAATTCTTTGTAACATTTGAACGGATCATGGGAACAAACCAGGTGATCTTCTCCCACCTCTATTCCCAACCATTTACTCAACTGTGCAGCCTTTTCTTTCGTCAGCTGGTTGCCGGAGTTCGTTACGAAAACCGTAGGCAAAACGAATTTCCCAGTTGAAGACGTAAGCTTTTTGAAAGTCTCAAGCACTTTTGGAATCACCACATTTCCTTGCAATATGACACCATCTATGTCGATTAGTAAGCCGAACTTCGGGTGTTTAGAATGAACGCTAAAACGCCTCAAAGTAGTAAACATTGAAAAAGCGTTATTAACTTTCCGGATAATATAACAAACACGTTGAAAAGCAGAACACATACTTAAACGAAATAAAACAACGCACAAGTTTTAACCTAGAAACCAACCAAAATAAAACTGTTAGTAAACAATAGATCCATATGACCCAAACATATTTTTATAATATGATCAGCTGATTGTGCTAAAGAAGAACAAAAATGGATCCGCATGGTGTTTAGACACTGTTTTGATCAATTATTCAATGGTAACCTGTCTACGGATGAATTATGAGTAACCTACTCTATTTTATTTATAATTAATTTTTACTACGTAAAACATTAATAGCTAATTAAAGAAAACTAATTTTATTTACGTAAATGTTCACATTCAATTTCACTGTAGGTTATATTTAAAAACTTTTGTTTGAAAAAGTTGAATGACATCGGAGGCATAATCAAGCAATTCGTTCATCGAGTTGACAGCACAATTCAAGGTCCGATTTCGTACTCCATTTATCATTTTCCTTTGTTTTCAAGTTGCATTAATTGTTCCACATACCCACGTGGGTTGACAGCAAGTAGGACAGTGTCAAGAGAATCGTAGGAAGTCAAGAGATTAAATATTTTCCCGTTAAAACAGCCTCACAATTTTCTACCCTTTTATTTAACTACGGTTTTATTTTCAAAACCTGTTCACTAGTTAAGAAAGTGTAACCAACGTCAATGATTTTTTTTTCTTAAAACCTATTACAGTACCTGCAATGATAAATAAAGGTGTCTACACAATACTACAAATATACCCATATCTTTACATGTTTAAAATATCAGCGTTGATCTAGTTGTTAGAAAAATAGCAACGCAAATGTAAAAATAGGAACCTTAGCAGCTACATTCATTTTTATTTCTCATCAGTTATCAATCATCACGTCCATGCAACGATCAAGCGCAGTTTCTCAATCAAAAGAATTTTAAGTAACCTACTAAAATAACGTTACCAAATTTTGACTAAATAACAATAACTGGACTCCCACACATAACGCCCCCATACAATAACATTTACATATTCGATCGTGATAAGTCGTTCGCAAGTCCATACATGGGGCACACTTGCGCTCCTCATAATGATCACATTGGAGTGTTTTGGTTTGCATAACTGACGAATGAAATTCGAACTCATTAAAGATTTACGGTAATTTTTGAGTTAACATCTAAATTATTTGTTAATGGTGTATTATGGTGTTGTATCTTACATTACACATAATTTTCTTGTTACTTTATCTCCCTGTACATCGTCCGTTTATGTGGAGAAAGAATTATTGTTTTCGTCAAAATGTCCTAGTTTGACTTTTGTGTGGAAATATCCGTTTTAGGGTCCTTAGAGGCATTTATTGTAGTCAAATGCAAAGTAGCACGGGGACAAACAAAAATAAATTCTAATAGCGAAATGCCCATGTATATTTCAATAAAATCTACACAACATGCAAAATCAGCGTACAAAGTGTTCAAAATGCAATTGGTCGTTTTCTTCTCTATAGTCTGTACGATAGAACCAGTTCATGCCTCTACGTCTACATGAGAACTTTCCAATGGTTTAATTTAAAGCACGGACATTCCCAGATAGACCATCATACAAGTTCCATCATAGACAGACAGGATGCATTTTACAGACTATAGGAATACAAAGTACACTTTTCGTCCCACGAACCATGACACACGAATAGAAAACAGCCGATTTCTTGCAGCATAGCTCAAATATAAGTTACACTCCTACAGCCGAAGTTTTAACCGTTCGCAAAAAAACGTAACCCTTGACTTGGGTGTAGGTATTCGGCGAAAGCGTGATAGTATAGGAAGCCCTGAGTAGGGAAGCCATTCAATACTACATTGCTACTGTATATCTTATTAGTGTAGAGTTCTGCTGGCAGTGGGGTTGTGGTACAACGGTGTCACGCAAAAACATCACGATATAGTGCTCGAAATCGAGTATAATACCTACTACCATTGACTATTGGATACTGAAGTACACATTCCATCTACAACATGGACCAGCAGTCACCATTTTTTTTTTATATAAAAACATAGTTGTGTGAGCCGGTTACAGAATGCGCTAGTGTCTATGATTCTACTTTATGCCTAGAACCATAGATAAAAGGAGTCTAGAACCTCTATTCTAAAACTCTATTATGTACCTTTTTTGTTGCTGACATATTATTTAATGGGTCATAACAGATGCTGTATCTCACAAGTCATTCCCTCGGCTTGACTTTGTAAAAAGTGCATATATTTAACAGAAATTACTAATTTACATCAGCACAATAATCTGTTGGTGCCTCACGCCAACTTCGACGATTTTGATAAAAAAAATAAACAGGCAACCACTTTAACGTGGGGATGGAATGTCTGGTTCTTTCAATAGTCAAAGGTTCTATTTTGATTTAAAAAATACAATATAGCCTAATTACTTTGGCAACATAATTGCTCGTTGGCATAAGGTCCATTTCCTAAAACACCATTTAAGCTGTAATTGTGGTAAAAATTATCTAAACGTTTAAGCTGAGGTGGAGCGCATGGCTTCGATCCCCATGTCCCAGGTTTGATTCCCGTCCATCACCAATTAATACCGTTAACCTCTAAGCCTGGTCTGAAATCGTTTGTAAAAATGTAACGTCTTAAGGATGTGGAAGTAGGACATTAAATGTACATAGAAAAAAAATGTTTGTTACAATTTTAAGTTGAAACACCGCAACATAAGATTCCAACATTTGATGCATTTTTACGTTGGACTTATTTCCGATCGACGGTCTCCAATTAGACCTAGACCTTCTTGGAATAAACCAAACCGGTCCGGCGGTCTAGCGAATCACCGAAACACTAGGACCCTGTCCGTTACGGACTACGGTTGTGGACACGGCGAACCGTTACGGACAAGGAATGGACGGTACGACACACGATGATGAGGCTAGGGTAACAGTGGGAACGTTGCTTGTACTACAAACATGAATGAATGTCCACAAACGTTGTTAAGAAAACTAACAAAGTTCTTCCTTCTAAAAGTGCTACTGTATCACTTACTGAAGAAAGAAACCCATCCTATAAGGAGTTAAATAATGCAACCTCCTTCCAGAATAACTTTAAATAATTCAACCACATTCAAGAAAAAAATCAAACAGGCTGGCTGTTGGGGGGACCCTTCTACGCTGAAAAAGAATTTATCCAAAGGTGACTTTAAGTATGGTCTGTTTTTGTAATGAAAAAACCAACTGTAAATATCTGACACTGCACTGTTCTCAATGAAAGCGTAAATGACGGATATTGTCTGCTATCTAACTTAAAATAGTAGAGGTTTGCACTATAAAAAGATTATTGTAACGGCAAAATTAAGGAATTTTCAACCAAAAATAAACTAGGTCATCTAAGCACAAATTTGTTTGAAAACGTTCAAAAATGCACATATTACTTAGGGTACCTATAACAATACTACTTGACATGTCAATGGTTCATCTAAATATATAAAAGGCAAAGCCCTCACTGACTGACTGACTCACTCACTCACTCACTCATCACTAATTCTCCCACTTCCCATTTACCTAGGAGGCTGAAATTCGGTACACCGATTCTTTGGGCAATAAATAGGAAAACTAAGTAGTTTTTATTCTGATCGGGCTTTCGGGCTCCACCCCAGTGGCTCTGGAGTTTCCCATGTTAACCTTATGATTTTTCATATTTAAAAGGAATTTCTTAACAGCTGTTTCAATTAAACAAGTTGGTTCTGTTCTATGATATTCAATAGCATTAAAGTTACAAGGATTACCAACAGGGTGCAGCACTATTATTTTTTTAAATTTATGACTACAGCCAATTTGCAACCAAAAGGTGAGTGAGCGTAGCGAACGAACTTTAACCTGGAAGCGAGTTAGCGTAGCGAACGAGCTAACCTGAAGGCAAGTGAGCGCAACGAACGAGCTCCAACCTAAAGGTGAGTGAGCGTAGCGAACGAACTTCAACCAGGACAAGATTGAGCCATGCGAACGAGCTCACTTGTGAAGTTGAACGGGGCAAAGCCCGCGGGTACAGCTAGTCTATATATATAAAAGGCAAAGCCCTCACTGACTGACTGACTCACTCACTCATCACTAATTCTCCCACTTCCCACTTACCTAGGAGGCTGAAATTTGGTACACTGATTCTTTAGGCATTAAATAGGAAAACTAAGTTGTTTTTATTCTGATCGGACTCTCGGGCTCCGCCCCAGTGGCTCTGGAGTTTCCCATGTTAACCTTATGAGTACTCATATTTAAATGGAATTAATGAATCTTAACAGCTGTTTCAATTAAACAAGTTGGTTCTGTTCTATAATGTGCAATAGCATTAAAGTTACAAGGATTACCAACAGGGTGCAGCACTATTATTTTTTTTAATTTATGACAACAGCTAATTTGCAACCAAAAGGTGAGTGAGCGTAGCGAACGAACTTCAACCTGGAGGCGAGTTAGCGTAGCGAACGAACTAACTTGAAGGCAAGTGAGCGCAGCGAACGAGCTCCAACCTAAAGGTGAGTGAGCGTAGCGAACGAACTTCAACCAGACGTGATTGAGCCATGCGAACAAGCTCATTTGTGAAGTAAAACGGGGCAAAGCCCGCGGGTACAGCTAGTTTGTCTATAAAAACAAGATCGAATCTGATTCAAACGTCTAAAACACAAACCAATATAACTTACTTAAATGTAAGTTTAGTGGTTCTTTTGACCGGAAGTACAAAACCAAACCTAAATCTTGTTTTTAAACGATTAAGGCAAACACATGCAGTTACTTTGGTACAATGGAAGTGCTCATGCCAAAAAATAGCGCTGCCAAAGTTTGAGGTTCTAAAGCGCTAGCAAATTGACCCACAACAACTAGAATAAAACAAACACATGAGTGATTCAAAACATCATTGTGTAAAAATGATTTTTACGATTTAAAAAAATGTTTTTACTATAACAATAGTCTATTTTTGTTTGAAAAATTCAATGAATGCCGTTTT